TTCTATCATTTAGATGTTAAAATTCAAATAGTTTCCCATCTACCTGGATTCCCTGGATTGCTGTAGATTTGTTCTTAAAATGTGCTAGTATGAATATAGATTGGCAGATGGATAAGCAGAGAGAAAATTTTAACTTTTGTACATAGGTAATTATTTTAATCAGGAGAGTCAATAGTATGTTCTTTTTGAAGATTATTATTTTAAAAATATGATAATGAAATTGATGCATTATGAAGTAAAATATGAAGCCTTTTTAATAGTTCCTCACTGTACCTGATAACTTTTGATGGCATAGATTGCGACGCTTCTTAGTATAGAACAAGATGAAACTAGATTACTTAAAAAGTAATACCAATATGAAGATACCTACTATAATATTTGTTTAGTCTACATGGAACATCTGGTATGTTTTATTTTCATGATTTTATAGCAAATGCATTCCCAGAGAAAGCACAAATAATCTACATGCCAGAGCAAAATTACCATAAAGCATTTACTTTAAAAAATCAGGAAACATGAAATTTAATGTTTCACTTACTTTTCCCAAGAGATACCATAAGAGATAGAAAACGCTCTTTGTCTGAAGCAGAAATCTTCCATAACAATAACGAAAATACCATATTGTACTTTAATTATATGTCATCTTTATAACTTTCGGAATGAAAGAAAAATGCATCAAGCTTACAAACCCCTTGTTTATAACAGCTAAACTTTAGTTGTATTACAATTAATCTTTCGTGACATGCTCAAGGAGTTTAATAAGGAACAAAGATAACAGGTAATTCAGACCTCTTCTTTCCTGTTTCATGTAATTTGCACACATTTTATGTGCATGATTGAATTGTTTGTGCAAGGTAACATCAGAAGACAACTATTACTGGTTTTCAGCAGTGACATAGTTTCAAAGGGGTTTATAAAAATCTTAGAATACTATAATGATTTGATTCTAGGATGCATACTCATTTACATTTTAACATCTCTAATAACAGACTGTGTCTCACAATTGTTCTTCATCTGAGTTAAAGTAGCTTTCCTCCAGGAAGAATTCTTTCTGACATCTGCCAGACATGTGAGACCCCACAAACCTTATAGCTTTTTAAATTAAAGCTTCTACCTGAGGTTTTGGGTCTACCCTGCCTATGTGAATTCAGAAAATAAACCTTCATTAGTACCACCTTGAGGTTCAAGGAGTGCTTTTGCCCCTTTTCCCACAGTCATGATTATGGTGGAAGCAGGCCACCTTCCTTGCTATCTTCATCTGCATGGAGTTTATTTCTCATTTAAACTATTTCTCAGTCACTCTGTGTCCCTGTTCCATGCTGGAATCTTTTAGTAGGTTACCCATTTCGGGCAGTTTTTCTTTCTTAGCAGCACATAAATAGTGCTGCATTTTACATTCTTGTCATCTTAGACTTGATGAAATTTGGTTATTTATTAAAGTTGGGGATTTCTTAATGCTGACATCAGCTCATCTATCAAATCTTAAGGCTCCTCTTTGGGCTAAGTGCTCAGATTCAGAGTTGGAAGAAGCTAAGGAGCAGACCATAATAGCACTGCTGCAAACTACTAAATTTATGGCTCCATAGACCATAAAGATGGCATTGCCAAAGATACTTTATGAAATTTGGAAATGATTTTGATGCCAACCAAGACATAAATTGAGATGGGCTAGCTGTGGAGATAATTTAGAAGATTAAATTCTGTGGATATTTTACTGTGAGATGCTAAAAAGGAAATGCATATATGCAGACCAGCCAAGAAAACTATTGGGGAGTGAAATTCAATGATGGCATTAAACTACAAGATAGGGCATAAAATATTTCAAAGATCCAGAAATCTAAGATGATGTTATGATTAAAAAAAAAGTACTGGGACTTATGGTGTATCTTTTTCCTTTCTGGACACATAAATCATAGTAAGGCTCATTTTGGGTTTGTAAGGAAGGAGGAATGGGAGAGAGTTTAGAGGTAAATTGACTTGGCCAGTCATTTTCTTGAATGTAAAGTTGGACAAGCTCCAACTCTGTGCATAGCAATTATTTCAGGGAAGGGAACAGACTGGAAACAACCTGAGACTTCTCTCAAGCATCCTGTTTAAGGTGTGACTGGGAAGACGAGATCTGCCAGCACACATGTATTTTTAGGGTTTGATATTAAGAGCTTTCTGAGTGAGCAGTTAGAAGTGATGGAGAAGTGTGTGCTAGGATTCAAGGGAAGTGGAGCTGGATGTTTTTCTATTTCACTAGGGCTGCTTTGTGTGAAAGGAAGTAGAGTGCCAAATGAGTGTTACAGGTTTCATCTAAAGTGAAATTTCTTTCACCTTAATTCTGAGTTATTTTATGTACAGTTTTTCTATTAAGAACCTCGGGATATGTAAAATATAGAGTGTTACAGAATGTTTACCATTACAGCTGGAAATGATCACACTGAAGTGTGTAATTTGGCTTCATGTTGCTTAGCAGCTTTCTGTGAAAACATCTCATATCTTTATATGTTTCCATATGAGCATATATATTTTATTGAATGTGAGAAGTGACATTAGCAAGACAACATGCATGATTTAACAGGGTTGGGCTCTGGAATTTTGCCCATTTTACTCTCAAATATTGACATCAACTCTTCCAAGGTAATTCACTGATTCCCAATAGTAAGACAGCCTAGCCAAGTGGGAAGGCCTCACTTAGTTTCCAAACATTTGAAATCCACTGCAATCTATTGTGCATATGTTTTATTTTTGCTCAATTAGCAACGTTAGCTGACAAGAAATAAAAAGAATAAAGAGGCCTTCATAAAGGAATGTTTTATCGCTGCAAAGTTTCTAGGGCTATTTTATCCTTTCCCCCCACGTATCACAAATATCCAAGTAGGGTTGTTTACCACAAAAAAGAAAAGAAAAATGATCCTGTAACATCAACTATAGAAATTCCTTTTTTCTCGTATAGTGTGTATTTTGACTGAAGAACTAGGAGAAAATTTATTCATATTTTCCTTACTTGTTATATATGTACTTTTTTTTCACTTTTCATAGACTCTGCCCATTCTGATTTCACACACACACACACACACACACACACAAAATCTTTAAAATCTGAAATACTCTCAAAAGCCCATTCAATGATTAACATTATTTTTTATCCATGGTCTCACTTTTATAAACAAAATCGCTTTGGTCAGTTTTTCCTCTTATATATAACAGACACTCATAACTCCAATATAAATAGTATTTTAAAATACTAATTGGCCTAATAAAGATATTGTACTGATAAACATAAGGATGTATCAGTAAGACTATGTATACATATAATTTCTAACAATTTTTGAAATAGCACAGTGCTCTGAACATGATTGTATATAATCATTATTTATTAATTGGATCTTATGATGGTTCTTAAAAGATTTTATTTCTTAATATGATGGTGTTGAAGATAATAATGTATGACTCAGAACATTTTTCAATATAAATACTAGATGCTGCTTAGTTCAAATCTCTTACTGGAAAACAATAATAGTAAGGAGCTTATTATAGCTTGAAAACTTAAGAAAACTTATTCATCTAAACTGTATTTACAGAATACTTACAATAACCATGATGCTACCTCTGGGGTAGTATTACAGGTATGATCAAGAGCATAATAACAAAGTTTGTATTGATATGGAGATTAAAGTCTGATTGGAAATGAATTCTAATTTTATTTTTTTGTTTCTTTTAGTTCCAATTACTATAACTAACTCTCCAACTCTAAGCAAATAGATTATTTACTCTAATAAATTAATATTTTATAATTTTTTATCAATTGAATGATGTTGATCATAATTCAATATTTTCACATGGAAGACCAGTGAATATTATGTTGTCCAATTGATATATGTCATTTGAAAAAAACTCGGGGAGGTGTGTCAATAAACCATAATACTCATGCAGGGACATTCATAATATTTACTTCATTTAGTGGCCTCTTTCTTGTTTATAATGAGGACAATAATAGGAAAGTCCTTGGCAGTAAAGGTTTTAAATAAAAATGGGTCCTAAATATTGGCTCCATTAGTGGTCACCCTACTTGGATATTGTCATCTCCCAAATAACCCTATGTGGAATTGTACACCAGCACATTCAAACTGTGCCAGAGGGATACCTGGAATTCAGATTTTGGAAGGCAGGCTAGGTGCAATGTATGATAGTTCTTTTTTCTTTTTTAACATTCATTAAACATGAATATTCTACACACCATTAGTAAGTCAAATAAGAGCTAATGAAATTAATGCAAAAGGCACCAACATAGTTTATTATGTTCAGTTAGTATCACATTTTGCAAGTTAACTATTTTTTACAATGAATTGTTATAGTGATGTCATTGACAGGTTTCCCCAGCAGAGGGAAGCATAACTTCATTATTATGTTCATAAATGATTGAGTTGGGGTGAATGAGTTAGATATTTACAAGAATGGTTGATGTTTCAACATTATATAGGAAACTTTGACATTAAATAGGTCTTGACATCTTTTAGGCAGTCTAAAATGAATTTGGTCAAAAGTGCCCAGTTCAAGGGAACATCCAAATATTAATTCAGTGTTGAAGAAAACCATGTCAGTTTACTTGAGCAGAATGATCAAGAATACATTGTGTCTATATCACCAGCATATAAATGAGTAATGTGCATTGCTTATTTTAAGACTATATTTCCTTCTTCAATATACTTAAATGAATCTTTTTGTTGTCCTATTCTCAGGTTGCTTCTCTACATCAAAGTACAAACTTAAATTGGCTTCTTTTTGTTAGTATAAGAAAGCTAAGCTTTGAATCTCATAAGGGTCTAAAATTAGAGTTTATCATGACTGTGATTGTAAAATATAGTTCAATGCTTGTGTTCTTCAATATTTTCTTTCTGCTAGATTTTATTTCCCTTGGAAGACATGGTACCCTGCATGGGTGTGTGTGGATATGCATTATCATATGATTTAGCCTGGTATTTGCAGGTTTAAAGTTGAAAAAGATGACTTACCATGGTGTTGTAAGTCTGAACAGTGAGTCAGTGGGTCTCCATTTCTTATATCTTGTCGTCTTGTGCGTCTAGAACAATTACATTTAAAATGTATTATTGTATTTCTACTTTACCCTCTTAGGAATTTGTCATAAGAATGAAGAAGAAATAAAATCCGCATAAAAGACTCCAGGAACTTATAAGAAGAGATGTATTTACATCCAAACAAAATTTTTAAAAAGCAGTTCAGTATACCTATAAAGAGAAGTCTCCAAGACCAGAGACTTCAAGGTGGGAACAAGTAGACAAATATACCAACATGGTATTAGGTACCTTTTGAATTATCTACAACAAAGAATTTATGGATCTTTGATAACAGGTATTAATAACAGTCAAATATCTAAAAAATCGAAGGGGGGAATATTCCACAAAATTTGGAATCGCAACCCATTATTTCAGGAAACAGAATGAAACTCTGATCATTAATGTGGGAGTGAGGTTGAAAATTAAAATTCCCCTGAATGGTATCTTTTTCTTAATGCTTATACAAAGTTGCTTAAATAGACATCTTTGAAATTTTAAAATATTAAGCCTAGGAATTATTTTTGAAGTTAGTTTTTTTTAGGTTATTTTGTTCACATTTAAAAAATGGTTTATTTAATTATCTTATGGTTAGGATTGCAAACCAATTGACCAGCAATGTGAATAAAATGAAAAAGGCAAAAATAAATGTAGAACTTAAGGGCAAGACCTCCTTTTGCCAGAGTAAGTGAGAAAGGAGAGGTGAACTGATTTCTAAGGGAAAAACCAAATTTGTTTTTAAACATCAAAATTAATTTTTTATACTCTATGGCTCAAATTGCATTTCAGGTTCCAAACAGTCTGGGCATCCTTTCTTTATAGTTTGCTAGTGGGTGGAAAGAAGGAGGGGCCTTTAGCTATTACTACAGAGAAAGATGGGAAGTTTGAAGAACAGACTAAGTATGGAGAACAGTGGTGGGGAACAGACTGAAAAGATTGGGCACACTTGACTATTTTCTGCAGCTATTTTAATGGGTATTGTCTGGCTGAAAATTAGTTATCATCCCTGAAAAAAGCTTTCACAAAGGCCATTGAGAATTGCAAATATGGAATTTGTTACTGTATTCATAAATTTAGACGTCTAAAGTATTTATAGATTTCTATTTGTAGAATTAGTGAGACTATCAAACAGATGTTGCACATTTCAAAATTGAGCCAAGAGAACTTGTGAAACATGAATCAAAAAGCATTTGGGAAGGCATTTTTCACTGCCATTTAACTTTTTGAAAAATGCCATCACATAGAATATATAAGTTGTAAGGCCTCTAAACATCCTTTTCAAAGACATGTAGTGTCAGACCCATGAAATTGGATTAAGTAAAATCTGTAAGGCATAACAAAATAGTGTTAATGAGAATTCCTTGGATCCTGAAGTGTAAATATAAAATAAACACTTCCAAATATATAATGCACAGGTTTTAACTTAGTATAGAAGTGGTTATGGTTTTCTTTTTATCCCCTTCCTTATTAAGAAAAGCTTAAAATTCAAATGGATTATTACTAAATTAAGCAACGTTATTCACATTCACTTGGAAAGGAAGCAATATTCATTTGCAGTTCAAACATAAATTTCACATTTTTTAACATAAAAGTCCCCTAGAGCTAAATGTTTTTAAGAAAAAAAATCATTCTAATTTTAAATAATTTATTATTATTACTGTAAAGACAGCATGTTGTTATTTATTTTAACTACCCTTGGTACATTCTCAGTATATATTATTTTCACTCTAAGCTTTTTTTAAATTTAAAATTCCAACAAAATCAATATAGATACTAATGTAATACAAATATATCATCAACTCAATTTTGAATATTGAAGGCTTAAGATATTTGCATTTTTAATCCATTCTGAGTTATTACTATATTTGCTTATAGGGTTAACATGATACTGTGTTTTAATCCATACAATTATATGAAAGACTTAGGTTGTAGATAATTTAACACTCAGTCAATGCTACCTAAATTTGGAATAAAAAATTTTATGCAACATGGGGGCCTTTTCCTTTTCCTAACATTTTTCCCACACATTTAAAATGACTCAAAGGTTGCAGAACTTATCTCACTAGCTATGGAAAAAAATCATGTTCATAGCTTATTTGAAACTTTAGCTATAATTTAAAAATAAACAAAACAAATTATATTGCTTCTAAAATGCAGTAACTTGGTGACACTGGTTGCTGCTTCATGTTTCAAAAGGTTGATGTGCCATCAATCATTAGGGCCATATTAACAAGCTGCTGTATATTACTTTCATCTATCATTGCTTGTTTCATAAGCAGTAGATATCAATAGAGAAAGGTAACCATCAGTGAATTGCAGAGGATGTACTGAAGTGGCTTTTTGTCAAATGAAGAAAGTATTTTTATTTTTTAAAGTATAAGTAAACCGATTTGTCAACAACTTCTAGGATTTGTCTATGAGTTCTCTGTAGTAAAATCACATTTCCAGGAAATAAAACTGTCTTTAAAGATCCAATGTCTGTTCCTAATGCATTCAATCTTGTATGCAGTAACCCACAGTTATGTATCATCTCAATGTAGTATTGTAGACAACTCTCTAAGTATATCTTAGTAACATTCAAGTTCAAGCATGCCCCCCTCAAATACTTCCAAGTATCATTAAGAATATATATCATTTATAATATATATACTATATCTGTATATATATATATCACTTTATATATATATATATATATATATATATATATATATATATATATATACACACACACACACACACACACACACTACATATATACGGACAGATAGATGGTTGTTTTATTATAGTTTTATATTTAAAGTTTTAACCTGTAAATACAACATGATACAATAATAATACAGAGGCATTTAGATTTCCTTGAGTTAAATAAAGAGATGCTGGATGCTAGTTAATCAACACTTATACCACACACATACAAATATGACTTTTTCTATTATTAGAAAAAAATTAGCCTTGATTTTTTAATGGTTGAGTCCTGATGTTCTCCCTAAGACTCCAGAGGTGAATGAATTTCTTTCTGTAAGAATTTTCTGTCCATCCAGGGAAATAAATTCTCTTATTAAAATGTAAAAACAGAATAGAATGTTTCTAAGGAGAATAAAAGAAATAAATTTTGTTGAACAAAAAAGCCTCTTGCTCAAAGACACAAGGCCTGTTCTAGATCCTGTTCATAACTTTCTGTGACTTTGACCCTAAATTTCCCACTGTGTAAAATAAAATTGCAAAATTATAATTTCCAACTGTAAAAATTTAGGAAAAGTATTGTACTGTCCTAAACTTTCCCCAGTCATTTAAAAAAGCCAGTTGTTCCATTGCATTTAGTACCCAACTTTCCTACTACACATTTTTTCTGGATGTTTTCACTATTTTAAGGAAAAGGGAAAAAATTAAAAAAAAAAAAAAAATGGAAAGAAGCAAACCCAGTTCCAGCCCAAACCTCTTTTATTCATCAGAAGAGGGTGGTATTCTTATTTTAAGAAAGCTCTTCTAGAAATGGAATCAAACAAGGAAACTAGCAAACATTTTATTTTTCATTCCTACCTCTTTGCAGTAGGAAAATATCGAGAGCATGAGGAACCATCCCAGGCACAGTACGGGTCTCGAGCCAGGCAGCACTCTGCACAAGCTTTCCCATAAATATCACATCGGTGCAGAGGGAGTTGGGCCACCCCAGCAGTGGAACCAACATATAGCTGTTGCTGTGAAAAGAGTTTACCAAAACTACTTTGATTTTCAAACCTCCTTTTTCTTAATAGAAAGTTTATTTATTGACATCATCAACACTTAACAACAATAAATGATATCTCTAGGTATAAAAACAAACCACATTGTTAATAGCTTCTTTGAAGGCTTAGCAGATAACAGGAGAGTTTAAAATGGAGCAAGAGCAAATTTTAAGTATTTGATTGAAACAGGTGTTTTTCTAAATATAAAAGGAAGATAAAGTTATCTGTACACCAAGCAAAATGATGTTCAAACTTTGAGTTTTTATCCTTAACATTTTTTTTTTTTATTTTCCCTTACAGATTATACTTTTGTTTGACCAAAGTATCTCTTTGGCTATGTGCTCCAGATGAGCTGGAGGCAGACATCTGATTCTGACTCCTGGGTGCCCTATTACATCACATGTGATGCACCATTTCCTCCTATGAGAGGGAAAGGAAGATGTTTAGGTATTTACATTTGAAAAGAACTTTGGACTCAACTGTCTTGCTTTTGCACTGCCTCCAGGAAGATTATTTTAAGCAGTACTACTAAATCACTTTCCATTCAAAAGATCATCAAAAGGGAAGAGAGTGAACTCTGATGCAATCTACCAAACTAAAAGCACTGAATTGGGCATTGAAGAGCCCGGGTGCTCAGTCTAGCCTTGATAACTCTGTGTGATCATGGGACATTCACATATTTTTTGTAGGAATTACCTTCCTTATCTATAAAATAAGCATGTTTCACAGATATTTAAAGTGAGCTTCCAGATGACATTTCACAACCCTATAATCTTCAATGAAAATGGATATATTGAATGAGGCAGAATAGGGACAAGTAAAAAAACCCAAAATTCTAGCAGCTACTATTTCAAGATTTCAGTACAACTTTAAAAATGCCTTGAAAAAAGTTGAGTGAATGTAACATATCAGCTGCAAACTTATATAAACACAAAATGAAACAAAAATAAAATTATTTTGTGATTTATCCAACATGTACTTTAATTAGTACCATAGCTCTTTTTTCCTTGCACTAGAGGATTGATTGATTATAGCAAACCTTAAATAAAAGTTATCTAATTGCTAAAACATGTAGTAAATCACAGGCGAAAGACTTCAAATTTTTATCTTAATTTCTCCAGTATGGAGATGAACAATATTCAGAAAAGTCACACTTTGAACAATGGTGTTCTCTTTTAACATTAGAAAATATCTAATAGTCATAAATGGACACAATTAAAACTGTATTTCCAAGGACTTTCATTTATGGACAATATATGTATATATAAATAGATAAATTGAATGCAGAGTGAAGTACTATTACAATTTAAGAAATCAGTAAAGTTATAAGGAATGTTTATGTAGAAAATAATTCAGTGCTAAAATCTAAACAACATACTTATATCTTGAGATAAGAAAGGAAAATAAGAGGGAAAAAGTAATACAATTCAACAGTTATGGTTTGGATCTGGAATGTCCCCCAAAGCCTCAAATGTTGGAAGGTTGGGTGCCCAATGTAGCATGTTCAGAGGGAGGACTTTGGGAAGGTGATTAGGTCAAGAGGGCTCTGACCTCATAAACAGCTTAATCCTCTGATGGATTCATAAATTGACAGCATTATTAGAAGTGGCAGAAACTATAGGAGGTGGGGCCTGGTTGGGGAGGTCACTGGGGTCATGCTCAGGAGGGGTATATCTTGGTCCTGGTCCCTTCTCCCCATGACCCCTACACTGTGTGTTTGTGGGTGTGTGTGGGGGGACTTCCTGGCTGTCATGAGGTGAACAGCTCTGTTCCCACTCTCTCTGCTTCACCACAGTGATGGGAATCAGGTACTATGGACTGAAATCTCTGAAGCTGAGGAAATAAATATCTGCTCCTGTTGGTGTCTTTTCTCAGGTATTCTGCCACAGTGATGAAATGCTGAGTATGAAATGCTGACACAACTATGGAAGCATTTATTCTGGTAAATATTGCTATTTGATTCCACTAAACAGAAAACATAAAAATATCATATGTATTACTATCTGCTCAACTTTGTACTATAATTCAACTTTATTCTTACATTCAATTTTAGTATTATATTGAATGATACTAAAACCCAGGACAAATTAAGAAATGATGGTGAAATCCCTGGGAGGAAATGGCAAATAGTATCTTTACCCTTTTACCCTTTATTTCTTTTTCCAGTAGCCTCCTTATCCTTTTAAAATGAATTTAGAGTCAATGGAATCAAAGAAATTTAAATGTGATTTAAAAATAAATGAATATTTAAACAAACAATGGAATTACTTAAGATTGTTGTAGCAAAGTCCAACAGAATCATGGTTGGCAACAGTGAATACAGACAAGCTAATTCACATATTGTGATCATGACTACTTTAAAATTCTACTAACCAAATTGGTCAGTTAATCAAAAGATCTCTATGTTTGTCCAATAACTTTTAAGAAACATAAGCAAAATAAATACATATAGATGTATGACATTTGAGTAGGAAAATAATTATCTAAATAAAACATCTAAATGTCATATCCCTTTAGAAGAAAAACAGAAATAATGTATGGGAAGAATACACTGTAGTATTTACACATAATACGTGTGACCACTGAAGTTATTGTGTTGAAAATCTAAAGTGTGATTAAATGCTAAAAGTTAAATGCAACTGTCATTTTTATTTTGTCAAAATTCTTCAGGATTATTAATGATCTACTAACATAATTATGCTATCCAAATGAAATATAGGGGAGGCTTGCAGGCCTCACTGAACACAATCCAGTCACTAGCAAGGAAACTGATGTGCTTTTTCTGCCCAATTTAACATCTCCACAGGCGTTTCACTATCCTCCTTAACAAGTTGTGGGCCATAGGCAGGACGTGAGCCTGTTTATCCAGAAAATTAGTGATAACACTACTTGTCACTCTTGAAACAACTGCCTTATTTTAAGAATGCCTGCAAGAATGCATGAAATCAAGTCAGGGCTGAATGAAATCAAACTTCCTTCCAGAAATGAAAAATGTATGTCAGGGACACTTTCTTCTCTCATGATATTTTAAACTGTGAAGTTTTTGGTTTGTTGGTAAAATACTGCATTGGTTTGCACTCTTTTAGGTAGTTTTAACAAATTTAAAAGAGAAAGGAGTATTTTACAAAGCTAGATGTTGAGGTAATGCAGTTAGGATTTGCTGACATAAAGAAATAATTTTAAAAATCATTACAGGAAAGAGGATCCCAGTCTAGCTTTCATCCTGGAAATCCCCGGATTTCCTTGCCAACATGTGACAATTTTTAGATTACCAGAACAGGTGAACACATACTTATGAAGTGTGAGATAACAGTATCAGGTCAATAATATCTGCACTCGGGGTTGTTTTAAATACCTTGGAGATTATCAATCTATTTTGATATGTCTATGTGGAAAGGACATACACTGAATTTCATTGGCTCAGTAATTTAGTGTTTTATTCAAGGGATAAAGCATGGTCATAGACAAGACCTGTAAAAGACTTAGAAATAAGATTAGCCAAGGGAAGGAGTAGGGAGAAGATAAGGGAGAAAGAGTGGAATGAATCTGAGCTAATTTTTAGGTACATATTTGAATATAGTACAATGAATCTCACCATTATGTATTTCCACAAGACATTAATTTTAAAAAAAATAAGTGTAAGTAAATAGCAGAATTATTGTTAGAGAAAAGAGAACAGGGGAGGGAACAGGGAATGAGTTGGGCTAAGTACTGTGTGCTGAATTGGAGCAAATCATATTCCATGTATTTATTTCATATTAACCAAGTGATTCTCATAATTTACATTTTCATGCATGTTTTTACTATAGTAAGGGGCTTCTTATTTCACTCTGGCTTTTTCTGCTTACTTATTTAATAATTAATTTCAACTTAGTATCCAAACCTTTTGTAAATTTATCATTAATGTACTGAATTAAACACTGGTAACATTTATGAGGAAAAGATAATTAGAAGTTAAACCTATACTTATGCTGTTCATATCATTTAGTATTTAGAAGTCTTTTGCTTTTCTTAAGTATCTTGCCAGAGCATTCATTTGATATGAATGGAAACACTATTAACATGCTGCCCTTAACTTTTGAATTCATGCAGTTTTAGAATTTGTCATTTGGTAGTGACAATTTTTCTGTTTAGCCAAATTTAAAGTCACATTTTATTTTCTTGAGCACACTATCCTAGTAAAAAGGAAGAGATCTGCCAAAAATGTATAGCCAGTGCTTAATTTTGTTAGCCTATAAAGTACATTTTGTTTGCATTTTCAAAGTAAAATTAAGTTGTAAACATTATTCTGAAATATCTACTCATATTACTTTTAAAGTATATATATATATATTCATAAAAATGGGAATCATTACTGAATATTATGTAAATTATATTTTAATGACAAAGAAGAATTGGTATATTTCAACATTTATAACAAATAATGATTCAGGAAATACATTTTAAGACACAGATGAGACTGGTCAAAAACATAAGGACAATGAAAACAACCTTTAATTTTCATTCTACTAGATTATTTTTAGGAATGGTATTTCTTTGCTCTTGGCTCCTTATAAAATTGTTAATCAATCTGTGAAATTTGATGGACAATAGAGAAATCTATACATTTTAAATACAAACTTAACAAAATATAATGTTGATGGTAATACATTATGACTTACCTGCTTAGTGGAAAGCTCCATTGCTGAAATAGTAGTTGGTTCCTAAAGAAGAAAAAATTTAAAATGGTCAATTAGAAAAGTCAGTCATTAATCAACACAAGGCACCAATACATAAGGTTTCAGAGACATAACTTCGGTTCTCACAAGGAGCAATATAATTGGGAAATAAGACCCATGAAAGAAACTGCATAGGTAAATGTCAAATATGTGGAATAGACAGTAAAATTATGTCAATATCATTCAGTCCAGTCAAAGGTCATGAGCAACATATCTGCAATTGACCAAGTTGGGTTTACTGCTCTTTGCAGTAAGAGAGAAAAATGGAAAGGACTTTTTATATGGGTTTGTGTTAGGTGATTGGGGAAGGGTTTTTAAAAAATAGGGCTTTTCTTGACTTTGGTCACTGTCTAAAAGTGGGGGTAATTCTATGGTTAGGTATATTCATAAGTCATTTTGAAGGAGAGAAGAACAGAACAAGGCTAAAGCTATTACTGGTTTACTTGTGTTTGGCAAAATGAGGGATATTTGGTCATTTTTGTGGATTAGATAATGTTCATGTCTTGGTCTGTGTTCAGACATGATTACAGAATGGTCTTGCTTCTATCTTAATTCATCACTTCAGAATGGCCCTTTCTGACAATGGTCTTCTGTGAAAATTTTATGTTCAACTGGAGAACAGTATGGCTTGGCTAAATGTGCTAGGTTGGCTCCTAACAGCACCAATGAGAGCTAACAATAAATACCAGGCAGGGTTCCAGCTGTCAAGGACTGCAAGAGCTCAGTTGAAATGACATGACTTTATTATTATTAAAATGTATGTTTAATGTGCAAAGACCTATACTTCAGGTCTTTGCCACAGAATATAATCTCCTTAATGCCTATCAACAGGCTAGCAAAGAGCAACATAAGTAATAACGGGGAAACTAACAATTACCAATGCACTTGGTAAGTGTTCTAACTGGAATTTATTGTGAATGTATATAGACTTGTACAAACAAATCCTGTTCCTTGATGCACGTAGCACCAAAAGGTTGTATGTTCAGGTTGAACATATAACCTTATATTTCTAGACTCACTCTTATTGAACATACCTTCTATCATATCTGCTTCAAGGACTAACACAATGGGAAGAGGAACATGCTTCTGGGTTTCAAAAGAGACTGATGAGAAAGAGAAGTAGTTGGAAAGGATGATCTTAAAAGACCTCATTGTGTGAGGTAACTGAAGCTAATCCCAGAAGAAAATATATAGAGTTGGACACTGAAACCAAACAGCATGGACTCAAATTGTGACTCATGACTGACCAGAAGTGTGATGTTGGCCAGCAATGTAAATTCTTTGTAATTCAGTTTTCTCCTCTGAAAAATGAGTATGGTGGTATTTTCCTCATAGGGTTCTTGAAGAGACTAATAAGTTCACACATGTAAAGGACTTCATAAATGCATTTGATGAATGGTGTTTTACCAAATCTTTTCTTTCATCTCTGTCTCTGTCTCTGTCTCTGTCTCTAACACACACACACCACCACCACCACCACCACCACCACTACCTCCTTGTCTTGCTTTTCTCCTTAATGCTTATCACTATCTGTATATATGTATGCATATGTGTGTGTGTGTGTGTGTGTGCATTTTCCTTTGGATCCTCAATTCCTCCTTCTTGAGCTTACCACGTAGTGTGCTTTGGGGTGGGTTAGAAAAACTCACAATTTCATCCCATCCTAAAGCTAAGTCTGAGGTAAAAGCAAGAGTGTGGGGCTGGGGATTGACAGGAAGATGTAAAAGTCAATAAAGTGTGTGTTGTAGAAATTACCATTGAGAGGAAATCTGAGTGTAGTAGATGATGATTCACAAAATTGTCCATTGAGATTTGTACCAAGAAAAGTATTTTTCATTTCATTACTTATTGGAGCCTTGCAGAGGTGCAAAATCTCCTACATCCCCAGGTATAAATCTTGCTTACATTTTGGCATTCTGTCAGAAAAGTTCTGCAGCGGAAAGTGAAAGACTCTCAGCAGGAATTAGAGTCAAGGCTGACAGGACATGAGGAGGGCAGCAGCCATCTTCTATCACTTGTTAATTTGAGACAGGGATTTTGGCTGATTAGCTACCATACCCCTAGAACCAAAAATTACACCTAATATTTACAGTTTTCAATAAATATTTGTTGAATGAATGAATGGATTCTCTATCAATTTCCCCCTTTCTCTCCTACTTATTTCTTCAACTTACTCCCCTATATTCTTATCTTTTGGATGCAAATAAAATAAAGGTAGCCATCTTATAAAATGTCTTTCCTTGATTCTTCTACCTTAGCTTGAGTTTCTTTAAAAATAATCTAAGTAGTGTATTCTTGCTGTCTTTACTTGTACTTCGGTCATGCACCTATCAACCTTCTAAATCTGTTCCTCCTCTGGAGAGGCAGTCTACTATCCTCAGAAGCAGAAATCACCAATGAACCCTGTATTGTTGAAGGAACACTTTCGGGACTGCAATGTTATTATTGGAATTCTCTATTTGATGGGCACTATTGATAATTCTTCTCAACTACTACTTCTACTAAATTCCAATATGCCTTAGGATTCTTCATTGGCTATTTCTGTTAGCTCTTGTCACAGTCTTCATCCCATCCTGCAACTATCTCTAAAGTGTTTGCCCTCTGTTTTCCACTCCTTTCTACTCTCCCTTGGATGTTAACCTTCTTTCTTCAAGTACATTAAATGTAGTGGTGCTAAGTACCTCCATGTACTATAGAATTACAAATCTCCACATCAAACTTGATGACTGAACTGAGAACAAAATTTTCTGAACAAATTTAGGATAAACTGCCTAAGATGCAAATGAGACAAATGATTTACAATATTCATTAATTTAATAGAATAATTTAGAGATTCCTGTTAAGCTTCCATTTTCATGACTTAAATGAATAACAGTAATTATTAAATATAATAATTTTCCTTAGGAATTATCAATCATTCTTACCAATTTTATCAATGTGGAGATATGATTTTTAGCAATCAGTAGCATCGCATCACAAAAGTATGAGAAAATTCATCATAAATACTCTGATTTAAAAGATGAAGCTGAAGATATTATTTAAGTTTGTACCATACTGGAATAAATGAACCAAAATGGAAAATTTAGAAGAATTAGGAAAACGTTGCATAGCAATTCCTTCTATTCCAACAGTTTCACATGAAAAATAGTTTTGTGGTTATATAAGCAACTGACTTCATGGAAGAAATTTTACAGTCAAGGTGCAAAGAAAATGATGCTTAGGCAGAGAAAAATTAAGAGTGTAACTGAAGTGAAAGTTAGCTATGTCTAAATTCTTTGCAAAAATGAAGCTGATTAATATTCATATGTTTCATGTTCATTGGCAAACATCTATAAGGCAGATGAAAATGAATTATTTCACATATAAATTGCAAAACATGAAACAAACCCCAACACCCACCAGACTCATGCCATATTATGTTTTAGCATTCTTAAATTAAGATCCTAGAATCCCTTAATTAATAGAACATTATTTATTATTTAGACCAGGAAATAAATTACAATTTGGAATAATATGTGTTATATATTGCTTGTGGTTGAATTTTAATAGACAATACATTAAGATGACATCCATTTAAATAAACTATTTTTTTCTGAGAAATAGCTGTTGGTGAATATGACTTCCATTTAAAACAGATGTAGCTTCATAAGCATTTTTTCATGAAACTGGTTTCAATTGCAAATTTAATTGGTGTTCAAGTAAAAATGAAATTAAAAACTTAGCATCAATTCAAGATTTTCTATGACTACAATTTACCATATTTTTTCCAGATATTTTAATCTCATTCTTATTAAACTTTTGCACTTGCAAAGCTTTTCAACCTGCTGATCCCAGGAGATTCTAACATAGCTCACTGGATGCTAAGCACGTGGACGGTCTTTTAGAATGAGTTAATAGGCTAGGTTTTGGAAAGCATCAATTATGTTTTACATTTGAATGAAAATTAAACTCTTTCATTTGTTTGCTCAGCTGTTCATGGAATATTGCATAAATTGGGCTTAAAATGCATGTGTTATTGATGTAACCGCCTTGCAATCCTTTGCAGTCAAAAGACTATAAATAAAGTCCATTGTCCTATGTGCTCTGCAATTCCATGTGACACTTCGCTGTCTCAAAAATAAGACTCTCTTGGTCTGAATTAGAAAGAATATCCCACGCTTAAAAATAAGTAAAAATCATCGTATGTTTGGCTTTTGATTCTTCTGAACATTTTAAAAAAATAAGGTACAGATAAGACAATTTCAAGAATTTTACACCTATAACTAGTTCACAATAGCTAACATTTAATATTAAGCTTAATTAAAAAAAATTAAAAGTTTTTGTAATCAGAATATTCATTATGAGAGGAAATTGAGGCTAACTTTAACTAGCTTTTTCAGAATGAGTAGTTAATATGATCCAAATTCAGATTTATCATGGCAAATCATATTTAGAATTTGGTGGTGTCTTACTACATTAATTCCATTTCAAATACTTAATTGTGAATCAGTAATTTCTTGACTCCTATACAAATGTCAATTTTATTTCACCTCTTATTACCTGTTAAAATTTTTACTCTAAAATGGAAATTCTTATTACCAAGGATTATTTTTCTTTCTAGAGTCTGAATGGGACTTTATTCACCCAGAATAAAAGTATCTTGAATGTAATAAAAACCATTGGAATGTTCTATGATTAGCTGGGGTATTTTCTTAAAGCCAGTCTCAAGATGGCAGTGGGCATGATACTGGTTTTATTCCAAGAATTTGTATGAGGTTTGGTTATTCAGTCTAGTAAGCACACATAATGAACACGGTCTCATGGAACTATAATATGGTAAAATTAACTGGTTGGTTAAATGTGCTTTTGTGTGTGTGTATGTGTGTGTGTGTGTGTGTGTGTGTTTAAATCCAAGTGTATCAGGCATAAACATGACCCTCACTCTGTATCTTGTCTATTTATCTTGTCATGCTATCATAATGCTCACATCGACCTTCTTTTACTATATTTCATTTTAAATGGAATGACACAAGACTCAAATGAAACATAGAAAATGTGATATTTCTCTGCTTGTTTCACTGTACATGGCTATCCCTTTAATGTGTTGTGTTTTTTTTCCTGCACTACAAAATTAAACAAAGCTTGACATTGAAATATTCCAATTGCTAGACCACAATATATGTATGAACTTTGCCTGATAGAATAGAATGTTGAAAGTAAATATTTCTCTAAACTCTGCCCAAATATGTTTTGTCTACTTGAGTGCCAAAGTAATAATAATGACAACATGCATAGCAGAGAATGTGGAAGAAACTAGAACATTTTCTATAGAAGGAGACGTGCTCCTAGTTGCAAACAGACTTTAAAAAATTGTGGACAGCTAAATAACTCCTTTATTTTTATTTTTAATTTTTTTTAATTTTTATATTTTGTAGTTGTAGGTGGACAGAATGGCATTATTTTATTTGTTTTATTTTTATGTGGTGCTAAGGGCCAAACCCAGTGCCTCACACGTGCTAAGCAAGCATTCTGCCGCTGAGCTACAGCTCCAGCCCAGCTAAACTTTAAACTGTTTCTATGGCAGTACAATATTACCTATTTATGTTCAATTATTAGAGACAAACAAAGAATTTTTTTAAGATATCTGCTAAACAAATAATCTATCAGTTATCACAAATATAAGACGATTGTAGGGCTGGGGATGTGGTTCAAGCTGTAACACGCTCACAGGGCATGCGCAGGGCGCTGGGTTTGATCCTCAGCACCACATAAAAATAAAATAAAGATGTTGTGTCCACCGAAAAATGAAAAATAAATATTAAAAAATTCTCTCTCTCTCTCTCTCTCTCTCTCTCTTCTCTTTTTTTTTTTTAAAAAAAGATAATTGTAGATTTCTCTGGAAACAAGAAAATGCTAATAAATTATAATAAATTATTTAATAATTGTATTTGCAAGATCATTGGCTTCGAACATCTCATCTCTGTTTAGTCATTTTAACAGTTCACTTGAAATTAGAATCTTTTTAAGTTGAAAATTTTATTAATATCCAAAATAATATAGGTAATATAAACTTAAAATCCTAGAGATATGAGAAACAAAATTTAGCCAAAATACAGTATCATTGAAAAATTATGCATGCTTTGATTCATATAATCCCAGAAAATAATAAATAATAGGAATAAAGAATAGTATTCTCAAATGTCATGATATCACTTGAGACAATTCTCCAAAATACAATGTAGTTAAAAAGTCAGGCATTGAAATGAAGAGTTATAAAACTTAAAAGCCTGTAAACTGCATGAGCTCAGGGACCATATTAATAGAGTTCATCTTTGTACCCCCCAGTTTAGCATTATGCTAGGATCAGGATGGATACCAATATATATTTATTTGCTGTTGAATTGATAAATGAACTCTATTTTAAGGACATACAACAACTAAAGGGGAATCAGAAAAGGAACATAACTGACTAATACAAGTAAAGGATTCCAGAAATAATTTTAAAATGCTTAATATATTTTAGTGTCTCCTATACCTTTATTTGCAACTGTGGTGGCAATATAAACCTTCAAATACATAAAATTGGTTAAGGTTTCTTTTGATCAGAGAATAATACGGGACCAGATTACCAGAATATTTTGTTTCTGTTTTTAGTTTAACTTCTTTGTACTCTGGAACCTCACTTTAAGGATGGTCTAAGGTCCTTAAAATCTTAAATTTCTCAAATGTCATTTTCGCATCAATACAGCTTCATTCATTCATTTATAAACATTGATTGGGAATATATTTCAGGCTCTGGAGAAATAACAATGAACACAAAATGGCAGTTTATAAATCCACTTCTTAATGTGCATAATTTATTTGCTAAATCTCAATGGACTCTGCAGTGGAAACACAGTCCATTTGGGTAATTGTATTTTTTAAAATTTATAGGCTAAAGTATCAATGTTTTTGTTCACTGAGGTAACTTATCTGACATGGTAAATGAGAAGTCAACACTTTATACCTAACATAAAAAGTTAAAGTACTTGATTTTAAAAATCAAAATTTTGATGATTTTTTTTTATTTTGAAGGTTAGATGGATTAGTAGAAATGGCTATTGGAAATGTCACTTACTTTCAGTTTAGCTCAATGAAAACAATAAAATAATATTAACAATAGCATTTTGTCCACAGTGCTGTAACTGTCCTTGGTACTTTAAATATGCTGTCTCTCATTCTAATCTCCTGGTGAAGTGCATGTTGATCTCATTCGTTTATTGATGGGAAAGCTCAGTGGAACTGTTTTAGTGTTCCCAATAGAATCATCATGTAATATGACAGAGAGGCCTAAACTTTTCCCACTAGAACATTGTTAGTCTAGTACTGAAAAATGTTTATGTCACAATTTACAAAGCATACATGTTTCAAGGCTAATCATAATTTAACGGATTTAACATATAAAACACTCGACATGTTTTACTTCATTCTCTTTTGAAAATCTTACTGAATGATAAAAAAAAAGCCTGTTGATGTGAGTACACTAGTAAAAAAAAAAATTAGTAGGCTAAGAGAGTGTTGGGAATACTTTGCTTTCCATCAAATATTGAGTCAAATGGAAATTTTAAACCAGCACCTTTATTTTATAGATAAATCATCTGTGCCACCTGGAAATTAAAGAGATCACTTGAATTGTTCAATATTTTGTCATTTTTATGTTCACCAATTTCCTCCAGTTCATGTTTATTTTGCAATTATAAATATCTTAATATGTGTGTCTTCTATTCTTTTATCAAAAAACTGAAATATCATCTTGTATAGGAATCTGCTTTTCATATATCATAAATAAATCTATCAAAGTGTACTGGATTTAAACTATTCCTATCAGCTAGCTTTCTAGAAAGAACTGCACATATAACATACATACTGTACTACCTTGGTTTTCCTCTTTCCCTCACCCCATGTCCTGTGCTTCAACTCTAATTTTCCCAACCCTATGCAAAATTACCTGGACTTCTATGACTCAGGACAAAGAGACAAATATCTATACATTCCATAAGTATGTAGACTAGAAATCTATAACAAATTTGTTGCTAGTGATATAAAAATATCAAACTTCCTTTAGTTAACAAATTTCTTTTAAAAATCTGATAAAACAATTCATGAATAAGCTAAAAGTGATTAAAATGACTTCATGACTCTGTCATCTTGAATGTATTTCTCCTAGTATTCACGCAAGTTGCATATCATCACTGTTATAGCACAAAGTGTGAAAGAAGAGACTTTAAGAAGGGGAGGAGTTTATTCATTGAGGTAACTTATATAAATAATATAAAATGTAAATCATATATTTTATCATTGAGAAAACAAAATATGAGCCAAGAATGTATTTCTTTACCTCTTTAGATTGAACTAGCCCTGAAAGTTTCAAGGTTTATTTTGACTAGTGTCTGGCTTTCTAATTGACAAGCTAATTAGAAGAGTATGCTAGACTAGTTGTCCTTACCAAGTTCAGTGTGCGGCTGTCCTGAGGGAAAGAAGTACAACCGAACTTGTTGACACTTGAAATTAAGCAGCACTCACCCGAAAAACTGTCATTTCTTCCAGCAGAACTTCTTCTAAATCATGCCAAGTCTCCTTAGGAATTGAGACTACTTTAAGAACGGTCCCAACATCTTAGAAAGAAAAGAAGGGAGTAGATCATAATTTAAATAGACTTGAGCAGAGTTCAGTACTAATGGAGACAATCAGAACTTCTCGAAAAAAAAAAAATTGACCTTAATCTCCCTTTTAAATTTTTGGGAAACATCAGCAAATTACACATTAAAATGTATATCATGAAATTATAGACTATAAACCATAAAGATAGCTTTGGAATATTAAAAAATCGAGTTTTTTAGAAGTATATTAATCTTTGAAGAAGGTTTTTTTCCCAGAACTGCATGATTTTAAAAAATGTATTAAATCACTACAGAAATTGATTCAGTTGGATTAATTCAGTTTATTTTTTAAAAACAATCACATTATCAGGAGTCTCAAAAAATAAAAACAATTTTTTAGCAGTTTGACAGGACAGGTTTTTCCACATTTATTATGAAATGTGGGTACTACTATGAAGACTGAAGGAAGATACAAGATGTAAGGAATGCTGTCAAGCAACAGAGGTAGTGATATCCTCAGAGTCCTGCCTGTAACTCCTGTTACCTGAGAACTGTCAGTACTCAGAGGCCCTTGAAGAGAGACCAGTGATCATGAAGTTATGAATTGCAGCAACAAATTCTCAAAATAAACCCTTAGACATGTATGATTATGTCAAAATGAATCCTAATATTGTGCATAACTGTAATGCACTAATAAAAAAAACATTTAAAAGTAAATAAGATGTCTTATTACAGTAGTTTTCCAACAATGCACACATTAGTTAATGCATTTTAGAACTTTAAAGAAAATTAAAATTCAGAAATATAAATAATAAAAGCAATTATATTGTATACATTTTGTAGATATTTCATACCTTATTTATTTTATTTCATTATCAAAAGAGAAAAGTTGTTTAAATGACAAGTGCCAGCACTTTTACTTGAAATTGGTTTAAGGATGATATTGATTTTCAACATATGGTTATGTTCCTATTCCTTGATAAAATCTACAACAGTGTCATCCTAAACTTAAAAAAATCAACTCTTGGACATTTCAATTGTGACTAAACTTGATTGATTCTTTTTAGCTTTACTTGGTCCATTTTAATCAAGTTTAAATGACTATATATGAAGAAAACATGACCAATAAAAATATGTTATACCAGAAAAACAATTAAATGTATTTATGCTGTTAATAACCGTTTTCAGAGGACCAACAGGATGCATTACCTATGATTAAGAAAGGCTGCTAGCTTATCCCTTACAAAGTTAAAAAAAATACTCTTTAAAGAGGATCCTTCTATGTTTATAGGACCTTGGACGACTCACAACACTGAAGATTAAAGGGAAATCAGGTTAATCTACTCACTGCCTCTGATCAGGTCCCCAGTACCCAAATACAACTTTATCTGTGATCCAGATCAAGTTTTACCAAGCAGTATTTCAAACAATTTCACACAAATTGAATCAGATTACTCAACAAGGATCAATACATGATGATGTGCAACTTAGTTAAAAGATACAATTACTGTAATCAATTTACTTTGCTGACAGATGACCCTGGACTGTACTGACCTATAACCATCCACATCATCAGACATTCAACATTCTCATTAAATTGGTGCCTTAAAAACAGTTTGTGTCCAAGAGGAATTAAAAGCCTACAACTGGGTTTTTTTTGGTCAAATGCCCAGAAGCTTCCTTATTTTGAAAGTGAGTGAGGGACTTCCCAAAAGTTTAAGCCAGAGGTGAAGAAGAAGGCAAGTGTGACATTATTGAGTCAATTTAATTATTTTGCAGAGAGATTCAATTATAAGTTGACATTAAATGATAAACTAATATTTGCTGAAAAAAAATCCCATTATCTTATGCTTTCTAAAGATTTTTACAACCTGAAATTGGTACGGACTATTCATTGACTCTTTTGGAAGCCTGGATCTCATTGGAATTCTTTTTATTTGATAGAGAAACTACTTTACCCATAAAAGTAGACTTTAACATATTGCTCAGGACCTGACCTTGATACACCTTATAGCATAGCATTTCATAATTTCCATATAAAACTTTAAGTCTTTAAAGCAATTATTGCACAGTTGCCATTCTGCAGGAGTAGTTAATGTGATTTTTTCCCCCTATTTCTCACCAAGGGAAAATAAATGTTATTATACAAGGTTTTAGTGGAGCACTCACTCTGTTTTCCATTGATTTATGTCAGTTAACAACATTAATGGAGACTACAAATTTATTACCTTGGAATCTGACCCTAAGTAGCAAGTTTCAGATTTGTAACTGGTACTTTCAAAATAGTATTACTAATAAAAAGAGTAGTGGAAAATAAAATATTGTCATAACAATAATGGAATTAATTCTGAAAATATATCTGCAAACTTTTTGTCTCTAATAATGAAATTAGTAAAAAGCTGTTGGTAAGTTTCTATAGTAAGATATTTGATGATGTTCTGTATCAATTTTGGGGTTTTCTTATGAAGACCTCTTTCTTTTTTTCTTCTCATTATATAGCAGAAACAATGAATAAAGTTTGATACTAGCATTTATTTGCTGGAAGCTTTTCACTGTATAGTAATTTTAAAGCTCAGTTAATCTTGTATTATTATATTCTGGAAACATTACTGAATGTCCTGGGAATTTCAGGCATGGTTTGGAAAATACATCTTTGTTCTAAAAAGCTACTAACCAGAAATGAGTTATGAGTCAATTATGAACATTGATTATTTACCTAATCATTAGCTTTACATTTATCAACTTTTCTTTGAGAAGGAAATCTCTTTTAAATTAATATGCCTCAACTTATTTTAAAAGATAATATCTTTGTAATGGTAGAATACTTGAGGGTTTATTCATTTACTAGAGGTGAACTATACCTTAAAAGTGACAATAAATCTGCCTTCAGTTCTTTATATATTTAACCAGTTAAATACATTGTTTTAGAAGAAAATGTATAGCTAAAGTGAAAAAATTGTACCTGTTCCAATAAACATGACATCATACTGGCCATCTTCTGCATCCACTCTATCTACTACAATTTGTGTAAACTGGTAATTTACATCTGTCTTGATCATTATTGGACGGTTATTAATAGGAAACACTGGATTGTACATGGCTGGATGACTTCGTGCGAAGGTTATAACATCATCAGGAAGGTCCTTTGTAGAGTCAAACCCACCAAATGTTTTACTGGGACACTATCAGGATAAAGAGAAAAATATTTTTTGATTAAAATCTGACAAATAAGATTATAAATTATAACACATATTGCCTTAATGGTCTGGGACTCTAAACTTATGACAATTGTTCAAAGTCAGATACTTATTTTTTACACTAATAAACTAAATGAGTAATAATTAGTTGTTACCAATTATCAACTACTTAAATTGATATATGCAATATGCTAATTTGAAAGCAGTATATATTTTCTAAATATAGTTTTCTCAATAGGAGTTATGCTATTACTCTTTACCAAATACTTCAAATCCATTTGATGAATTCAGTGTACAGGAGGTATATGATAATTCTATTACTTATGCCATCACATGCTTTATTTATATGATGGATATTTGATATAGTGAATAAAATCTGCAACAACTAATGAAATTAATGCTATGATTAGAGAAAGTTAATGATTTTCTTGGATACATTTAATTTTTTTACTATATTATCACCCTAAAGGATAATTTCTTTTCAAGCTAAAAGGCAATATAAATAATTCTTTATTGCTTTATTTATAACATAACCCTAAAAAACTATCATCTATGACTTTAATAAGTACAATTTTATAAAAATAGGAGAAGTATTATTCAAACTGCTCAGCAACTGGCATGACGGAAAACTGACCACTCAGAATGACATCATGACCAGAAGTCGTAAAGGAAGCATCATTGTTCGCTGGCATAGTGCCACCTCCAGCTAGAAAAAAACTGTACATAAGGCAATAAATCAAATGAGAAAAATGAAGATTTTACTATGTCTCTTTTCATTGCATTTACTTATGTAGCACAAGTGTTCCTAGAGTACAGTATCTCCAATCTCATACTTCTTGTCTTAGTTTCAATAATTTCTGCCCTTTAATGTAAAAGCTTGGGAGATGAAATATAATTAAGAGACAATCCTGATCTTCCAAGAAGCCTAGAATGAGAAATCAATTGTTTTTGCTATTACCTTGAAGAAACCATTAATAATTCATGAGAAATAAAATAAATCTGTCTTAAAATATGAAGATACATATATGCATATTTATGTATGTATATGCATGTATGCAGACATAAATAGTATAATGATGGATTTAAGAATTTACTCTTTGTTTTGTAAGCAAATTATAAAATTATTTAATTAATGTTATAGAAATATCAAATATCTATATTAAAAACCTGGAAGAAACAGTAAAAAACAAGACACTGAAAATTATTTGTGTGCTTTACTACCATGTAAAATTTTGCAAAAATGTGTAGAAATGTGTGATTTAAAGTTAATGCAAGGGATTTATTTATTTTAATATCTCTTATGATTTGCCTTATTCTTTTGTCTTACTGTCTTACTTATCATACACAACTTAGTTTATAAATTTGTTAAAGATGAAAGAAAATGCTGTGGTACTGACATATTAAAGTCATTTAATATTTTGTCTCAGTAGCGTTGATAGAATAATATGTGCTCAGCCAGCACCTTTTGGGATACACTTATCAGGTGAACTTCATTCACAGAGCTAGATGTCACCTCTAGCTCCTAGATCAGGCAATGCTTCCTGCCTCCTGTCTCTAACACTTAGAGTCTACTGCTTGCTGATTTATAACAACTACATATGAATAGTAGGTGAGAACTAAGCTGCCTAGATTGAATACTGGTTCCATTACTTAACATCTCTTGCTTCACAGTTTTCATCTGTGACATGGGAAAAAAACACTGGCTATTGAGGTCCATATCTATATACAGATACAGGAGTTATGCTATGTATGTATAAAACTTCCCTTATACTAGGGTTCAGAATACAATAATTTCCACCTTTTTTTCCTAATTCCTATTTTTATTAATCCCAAATATATTGTACACATATTCAGATAGAAAACTAAGTTCATCTTTGTAGCTCAAAATAGTAGCATAGTATCTAACTCAGGAGTGTCATCATCCCAGTGGTTCGGGAGGCTGAGGCAGAAGGATGGTGAGTTCAAAACCAGACTCAGAAACTAGTAGTGAGTCTCCAAATAAATTATTAAAAAAGAAAAAAAGACATGAGAATGTGGCTCAGAGGTTAAGCACCCCTAGGTTCAATCCCCAGTACCAAATTTAAAAAAATTTAAAAAGTGCCATCAAATTAATTGCAGTGAACCTGGGAAGAGTTGATTTGTGTTTAAAAGACACTCTTAGCCATAGAAATATAAACTATCACTAACAAATAAAAACAAATTATCATTAAGATACAGAGTAAATAGTTTGTTTTTTGTAAACCCCATTTTATTTTCTATAATCAATAGATATTCCATCTTAGCTATTTATTCTGAAATTCTACTTTAGAATGCTTCAAGATTCATCAGCTAGAATATTTGTAAAATGTAAATTTTTTATTCTCTCACAAATAATTTATCAACACAGAGAACATAAGAATATTAAAAGTTTGCTACATTTAATAAAATAATTTTAAAAACATAATTTACTTGAATTCAATAGAATATTAAAGCATGACAGTAAAACTAAAGCCTAAACTTCAAATGCATGTTTTTTTCATTATATAAAAGTATTTCCTCAAAGATTTATTAGCATGCCGGGTGCAGTGGTGCATGCCTATAATCCCAGCAGCTTGGGAGGCTGAGGCAGGAGGATCACAAGTTCAAAGCCAAACTCAGAAATTTAGTGAGGCTCTAAGCAACTTAGTGAGACCCTGTCTCTAAACAAAAGATAAAAAGGGGCTGGCAATATGGCTTGGTGGTTGAGTGCCCCTGAGTTTACTCCGTGGTACCAAAAAACAAAAAAATCACTAATATTAGAAAAAGTTACACTCATGAATGGTTCTATCCAGCTATTCTTTACCTCTGACATCATACAGTGAAGTCACCTTCACTGTTTTTCATCTTATTGATATGTTTCTTTACTTGTCCAGTCTCTACTTTCAATTGAATATTGAAAGCTGGTTTTATTTTGGGTTCTATCCAATTTTCCTTTTAGACCTGGTGTGCCCACAATTATGAAGTGAAAGGGAGAGGTAGACAGTTGGATATTTAGCCCTGCTCTTTTTTGATGTATCTTCTTTTAAATATCTTCTTTACCTACTTTGTCCAGTCGCATGAAATGATAATATTGGTTATAATAGTTTTTCTCCAATATAATACACAAGCCGAGTCTTCCCTACAATCTGACATTTAAGATCACATATATCCTATTAGTTTCAACCCTCCATGAAGGTCATTTCCACTGTATCCCATTCAGAAAGAGAGAGAGAGAGAGAGAGAGAGAGAATGAGAATGCAATGTTACTATTTTTCAAAAGTTCAAATTAAAAGGGCTGGGGATGTAGCTCAGTGATACAGTGCCCCTGTGTTTAATCTTCAGGACCAAAAACAGAACAAAACAAATTATGCATATTAAATGGTTAAGACTAAATTTAATATTGACATCTGCAATGAATGTAGAATTCTATTGGAATCACACAAAATCCTGCCCATGCTTTCATTTTTAATCTTTGAATCTTTGTTCTATATTATCTGTACTTAGTGTTTGTTTGTAGCTGCATTTGTTTTTTACCTTTGGCAGAAATAAACTCATTTCACATGTTAAAAAATTTAAGCCACTTACAGTTCCTGGCCGTGGGTAGGGAACTCTTCCTTGATAGGGCACCCATTGGTAGTTGGGACCATCCCTGTGAGCATATGGACCAAGGAACACCCTTCTCACATCGCTCATGCTGTACATACATACTGCTGATCCCTTGAAGATGTTACTGAAAACAACAACAAAAAAAAGAGAATAAAAACTGATGTTCATCCTTATAAAAAGGCATGTGAATTTGAGAATGAGTTACTAAATTTCATATATTATCTAAACTTGAATATAAATTTTAGCAATAATATTATATTAAGAATATTTTAGTCAGACGAATGTATTTTAACAATGCACAAGAGAACAAATTATGATTTCTCAAAAATAGCACAATGAAACCATTTTTTTTAGTATTCACAGAATATATGCATTCATATCAAACAGACTATTAGAAAAAATACAGAGAAAATCTGTTCTAAATGAGTATTTAACTTTAATGTCATTTGGAAATAAAAATTTACAACATGTTTAAGCCTCAAGCACCATTACTGAAACCAGAAAACTTTTAAACAAGCAAGAATTTTTAAGAATTTACTCAGCCTTAAAGAGGAATAAAATTATGGCATTTGCAGGTAAATGGATGGAGCTAGAGAATATCATGCTAAGTGAAATAAGCCAAACTCAAAGAACCAAAGACCAAATGTTTTCTTTAAGTGGATGATGATCCATAATGGGGTGAAATGGAGATTGAAGGGACTTTGGATTGTGCAGAGGAGAGTGACAGAAGGGGAGTGATGGGAAGGACATTGGACTGAGACAGATGTTATTACCCTATATTCATGTATGATTACACTACTGCTGTTATTCTGCACCATGTTCAGCCAGAGGAAGGAGAAGTTGTGCTTCATTTGTGTACAATGTATCAAAATGCATTCTACTGTCATGTATAACTAATTAGAACAAATTGAAAAAGAAAAAAAAAAGAATTTATAAGTTGGAACTAGTGCATAATTGAATAGTCAATGGTAAATTATTTGTCTTATATATATATGTAAATATATATATATATAATATTTTCTTTTAAATATGTATTGATGTATTATACATATGTGTGTATTTGTGTGTGTATATATATGTATATATATACATATATATATATATATATATATATATATAATGAAAAAAATGCACATGCTATGAACTTTTTTTTCCTTTTCCTTTTTCTTTGAGACTGAGTCTCACTAAGTTTCCCAGGTTGACCTTGAACTTGTGATCCTCCTATTTTAATCTCCTCAGTAGCTGGGATAACAGGCATGAACCACCAGACCTGGTTTACATTATAGTGTTTTTTATACCCCAAACCAAAAGCTATTAGATCTAATAACATAGTTTGATATTTTTGAAAACATTTAAAATAATCTATTTCCAACAGAGAAAGTAGTTTTAAGTAGTAGTTATTTTTCCCAAGTTAAAGCCAAGCATTAAACAATTATTTTCATCATTTTACTGAATAAAATCATGTAACTGAAGTAAAATGGAGATTGGTCACTGAGCTGCCAAAATTTTCCATTTTATTTTGCTTATATAAATATGACTTGCAGAATGTATTTACACAAACATATTATACAGTTGTACACTTTTTACAATAAAAAAATACTTATCTTTAAGTTGGTCTCACCCCACAGAAAATGACATATAAATCAGACTAATGCAAACCTTGTGTTCCTACCAATTTATTTTTGGAAACTGCAAGCTTCATGAGGGAAGGGATTGGCTGGTTCCTTTCCTGCAATATCAATTACTTACCACATGGCACTTTATTCATGGTAAACGTCAATAGGTATATATGAAATTTAATGTTTTTGTGATAGAATAAATAGCTAATTAACACATGTGATGCATCAGAGTTGGTAATGTAGTTTATTGTGTACATCCCTTTTCCATTGCTACAAGTTTTGCTTATTTATTCATGTAATCAGTCATCATTGAAAGATTTGATGGATATGATTTTCAGCTATCAAGACACACTCACAAACAAATATCTATGTCATGGAAATTGAGAGGTGAAATTCTATCACTCGTTAAGCTACTGGCAAAGTGAGGTCCCTAGACCAACAACACAGGCATCACCTGGGAACTTGTCAGAAATGTAAATTCTTAGGATCCTCCATCTCATTCCTCCTGTCTCAGGAACTCTGGGAATGGGGCTGGCATTCTCAATTTTAATTATTTGTCATTTATTTTTTTCTATTTAAATTCATTTATTTAATTGGTCACAAAAAATAGCAACCCAAATTTTAACAAATTCTTTAGTTGATTCTAACACATATGTCTGAGAACTACTGTACTAAGCAGTGAGGAGGAAGCAGAAAAAAGGGATGAATTTTTGGTTGACTTGAGTCTCCTACTACAGTCTTCACTTCTTTTGTATTGTTTTTACATCAAAGGGAAGAAATATGTTGGTACAAAAGCTTATATATAAATTTAGTAAAGTAGGTTTCTCCATTTGGACATATTAATGTTTAAAATTAAGTAAATGCATCCAAGAAGTGTGTAACAGCTTTAATATTTGCAGAATAAACTAGTGTTGGACGTTGCAGTTAATCTTTCTTTCATGCTATCACAATGACTAACAGAGCTTTTTCTGACTATAGATTTGAATTCTTTTTCTTTTAAATATTTTACCAATATGCCAATATATATTCACATTTGTATTCATATAAATATATATGAATTCTTGCAACAACACCCGGTGATGTGAAATTTATACTGAATATAATGATGGAGAGATAATTGTTGCTCAATTGACAGCAAGAGCCTCAGGAAAGAAAGATGAAAAATTGGGAGAAGAGAAATTGTGGAAAGGGAAAGAAAGCAGAAGAAGGGAGAAGGACAGAAAGAACTGAAAGGTGGAGTGGAAGTGAAAGGTGAAGGGGGAAATGAAGGAAATGAAGACTGAATTTTATATTATATATAAAATAGAACATAGGTTTAAACCCAGTACTAATTTAGCGTTCAGGTTTTGTTGTTTGATCTCATTAGAACTTATTATACCATTATTTTAAAAATATGTATTACAGGATGGCCAATAACAAATTAAGTAGACTCTTACAGAGAGAGAGAAGGAGAGAGAGAGAGAGAGAGAGAGAGAGAGAGAGAGAGAGAGAGAGAGAGACTACTACTAAAGCTTTTTTTAAAGTATTTTTTTAGTTGTAGTTGACACAATATCTTTATTTTATTTATTTATTTTTATGTGCTGAGGATCAAACCCAGGGCTTTGCATGTGCTAGGTGAGTACTCTACTGCTGAGCCACAACCCCAGCTCCAAGACTACTAAAACTTTAAAGTATAAATAACTGAAGTTTTATTAATGCTTTTTAAAAGTATCCAAGAGCAATTTAGTAGTTTCATTTGTGAGTATTCAGTTTTTCCTAAACCTGTAAATTCTTGCTTTAATTCCAGAGATATACAGAAAAATATAGTGAAGACTAGATAGGTGGAAAAGAGGGTAACCAAAGGACCATGGATACATTGGCATTTCTAGATGCGTTTTCCTCTCAGATTTTCATGCCAACCATCTGATCAGAGAAATTACTCTCATATCAGTGGAATTGCTGGTACCAAAGAATATCTGAGCTTTTCTTTTACCTAATTTATTTTGCAATTGATTAAAGAGACTAAGACAGAGATTTTAAGTATATATTAATTTATAAATATATGAGTACTAAATTAAGCTATATGTATACATATAATTCATAAGTTATAAATTAAGTTTCTTTACCCTAAGTTTATATTGCTCCAAATACTTTCACAAACTCAGATATCATTTTGATAATAGTCTAGACTTCATTCAAATGTTTAAACTCAAAAGATGAACCTTGGATACAACACAAACTTTTCAAACTGTTTTACCGTTCTGTTTACTATGATGATATTCTTTACTAAAACTCGCTTTTAAAAACAATTACTTTGGTCATAACTTATTTAAGCTACTCAAGAATGTAGCTCAAAAGATTAAAGCAACATGGTTCTTTGAAAAATTATATTTTCAATAGTTAAAGACACTCCAAAAAATTAAAGGACAAGAGGTTTCTTGCATAAAATGGAAATAAAAGTTATTTACCTGGATGTTGTAAACACTCCATATACAATTGGGTTTTTAGGATCTTTAGAGTTCATTAGGAATACATCCTCTGTTTGAAAACAAAATTGGGGAAAGTTGCATTTTTACAGTTATGGAAAAGACTGAACAAATGTCCTCTGCGTGAACACCAACCACTTACGCAGTTCATCAAAATGGGTGTCTATGCCATTTGGGCCTGGCACTGAGCAAATCAGACGAGCCTTAAGGAATGTTGTCCATTTATTCACCAGACTTCTGTGTCCTCCAAAGTCATTCTAAAAGGAGAAATAGCCAGTTTTAGTTCCTGTGCATGCAAACATTAATTTGAAATATTTATTTTTTTTGTATATTAAGACCAATACAAAAATTTGTCATCTTTCTTAAAAAAACAGAAGAAAAAAAAACAGTTCTTTATGCAACCAAGGGAGTTCTTAATTCCTAAATTTTCAAAATTTCCATAAGCATTGTAAATGACCAGACACAAGTAAATATCATTTTTTATTTTTTATTATATCATTGGTCAAATCATTGACTCAAATTTTATTCAAGGAACTTCTCACAATAAATGTCCAATGGTGATAGTAGAAAATAAAAATCTACTATATTCTTTAAAATTGTTAAGAAAGTGGATTCTAAGCATTCTCACTGCAAAGAATTCTTAATATGTGAGGAAATACACATGTTAATTTGCTTGATTTATCTATCTACAATATGTACATATTTTACAGCATCATGTCTTACATGAAAAATACATTCAATTTTTTTTTTTTTGTACTGGAGATTGAACTCAGGGCCACTTGTTCACTGAGCCACATTCCCAGCTTTATTTTGTATTTTATGTAGAGTCAGGGTCTCAATGAGTTGTGTAGTGCCTCGCTTTTGCTGAGACTGACTTTGAACTAACAGTCCTCCTGTTCCAGTGTCCCGAGTCACTAGGATGCATTCATTTTTTTTGAGATTACAAAACAATTAATCTTTAAAAAGTCACTTCACTTTTCCCATCCTGTTACCACTCGGCCATGGATGAACATTTATTTACTGTTGTGTTTGTTTTGTTTTACTGATGTCTCTTGTTCCTAATTACCATGTGTATGTTTTTTGTTGTTGTTGTTGTTTCTTTGTTTTTAATACTGGTTTACAGCCAATACTTGGTATACAATAGGCACAGAGTGAATATTTACTGAATGAATGATAAATCCATGCCTCATAATCTATACTGAAAATATATTCCCCAATAAAAGAAGCTAGCATCAACTACTTTCAAAGCTTAAGGTATTGAAAGAATTTATACTTTACAAATAACACACTGAGAAAATATTTGCATAAACCTTAATAAAGGAAACTCATTCCAGAGAAAATATTTTGAAAGTGTACTCTCACTGTAAATACAACTGAGTTTTAATCTAAATGTAGCAATAAATTCTATTATAATGTTATATATTTACTATAGTCTTTTAAAATAATATTTATGTGCATACATTGAAGGAACATATAGATTTCTTCCAAAATAGTGCATTGATTTAACTTTTGTTTATATGATTTTCTTAACTATATTTTTTAACCCTTGTAAGTAATACTTTAAAAATTATCTATATTTTGTGGAGAAATGAGTTTTATCAATAATATTTTGTTTGTACATTCCCAGAGAGTTAAAAACTTAATTTTCTAGTAATTGAACATGCCAGAGACAAAGAATTAGATTATTTGGGGATAAAAAAAGAGACCATAAAAATATTTCAAATGTTTTGTTATTTTTCCCTAAAAAAGGAAGAATTGAATTTGAAAATTTCTTGGATCTGTTTTTGTGATTTTCTTTTTGAAAGATGCTTTAATATGTGCTAACTTTTTTCCACATTTTTTTCACCCTATACACTGCAGAAGGAAAGAATAGTACTGTTCTCATGTCTTCTAGTTGCTGGTACTAATTAACTCATGAGTATTTAATGAGCAATATTATTCTAATATCTAACTTTATAATGTAATACGAAAATACCAAATTTCTCCTAGATATAATTTATATCTCTATATCTATGAAAATATTTTACATCTTCAGAACTTCAAACCAAGATCATTTAGTGTAATTGTGAAATAACACCAGTTACCTCATAATCTTTATTTGCATATTTGTGATTGTGAAGAGTTACTCAAAAGTAACTAGAATGCATTTGCAATCACTTTCTACCATTTTAATATTTCTTGTATGGAGACACATTTTAGTGACATTTTTCCTTTGAATTTTCAATGAAAATGATGAGAAATAAAAAGAAATAAAACATGAGTAGACAATGACAATTCTTCAGTTTTTTTTTTACCTCACCTTGCATATCTGACCTATTCTAGCATGGGTGGCTTTTCCAGAATGTTCTCCATCTATTGCATTTTCACGGAAGAAAAAATATACTTTGTCATCTTCAGGGTTGTCACTCTCTGGGATGAGGTGAGCACTGATGAACCTTGGATCTGAGAGACAAATTACAGCAGATGTATTAATTCACAGTTTAATAAGAATATGATTAAGTCCATTTCACTGTCTCTTAAACCATTTTTTATATAGCTCAAGAAATTAATATTTCCTTAGCTCAATTTTCAGTACATGAGAACTGTTCTTTATGCATTCCAAAGTATATTACAAATCACATCATATGTTAGAAGTAGATATACAAATCATCCGTGTGACCATATGCAACGCAAATGAATTACTGGATATTCAAATACTTTGCAGATTTTAAGTGGTATTACCATTTCTAGTCTCCCTTTCAGGCATACAATAACTATTAATTGGTGTGTTCCTGATTCCAGCAAAGCATGGGTGGGAAGAGAAAGGTGAGTCCTATACAATAAATGACAATGTCATTGTAATAAATACTCAGGCCCAAAACCTTGGCTTCACTTTTGCGTCTTCTCTTGCTGTCCTGTATTCTATCACTATTATTCTCATTCATAACAATTTTTGACCATCCTTTTCTGAATCATTATTGTCAATCTTGTTTAAAATAGATTTCTAACTAGTCTCTCTTTCTACCTTACCAACCTCCATGTCTTTCTCCATATGACAGCCAATGATACTCTGACAGGTCACTTCCTTCCCCCAGCCTCCATTATCTTTCCAACTCACTTATAATAAAATGTAAACTCCTCCCAACAAGATTATATTCTTGTCCATGTTACCTGTCACACCTTTTCTCCTACTTACTTCTCCTTCCTATGTACTCCTACAGAGCAATATCCCCTTCCTGGTCCTCAAACTTGTTAAGAAAGGACTCCTTTGGTCTTGCCCCAGAGTCAGCTTCCCTGTGTAACCCTTTGCCCCCATACGCCAGGGCTGGATTCTTATTTTTATTCAGGTCTTTGTTAAAATATTACATTAAATGACTTTATTGACTACTCCATCAAAAGCAATGAAATCCTTGTTCCTGGTCATTCTCATTTTATTTTCTTGCATGATGTTTTTCCCCTAACACTGTTCAACATCTGAAGCAATCTCTCTTTTTCTCCATTCATCTATCAAATCGTCATTTGTTAGTTGCCTATCGCCCTTACCATCTTAATGGAATAAAAAGTCTGAGTGCAAGACTTGGCATATTTTGACAAGGTGTTTAAATGCAGAGTTTAAACACAGTGAGAAGTCAATAAATATCTGTGCAAGGAGGAAAGAGAAGAGGAAAAAAGAAAGAAGAAGAAGAAGCAGAAGAAAGGGAAAAGGAAAAGAAAGAAGGGGAAGAAGAAAAAAATAGCAACAACTACAACATAAAAACATATGTCTGCTTATACTAGTGAGAACATACATCCATAATGTTCAGAAACCCACTTCAAAAAATACTTTGTAAATAACTGGGTTGATATGGTTGTGGCTCAGACAGACTATATAAAAAATATGAAATGGGGCTGGGGATGTGGCTCAGGCGGTGGCGCGCTCGCCTGGCATGCGTGCGGCCCGGGTTCGATCCTCAGCACCACATACAAACAAAGATGTTGTGCCCGCCGATAACTAAAAAATAAATATTAAAAAAAAAATTCTCTCTTTACTCTCTGTCTCTCACTCTCTCTTTAAAAAAAAAAAAAAAAAAAAAAAAAAATATGAAATGGCTTCAAGACTTTACCATGTAATGTGCTAAAAAGCTGAAAGCACTTAGGACATTGTAGACATTTAAATTCATACAATAATCTACCTTTACTCCATGGTGTATTACATTATTAAGGTAACAATGAAATATATACACACACGGGTCAGCACCATTCTTAAGAGACCAGGAAAGAGATCAGAATCCCTAAACTAGCTTTACCCATTTACAGTCTAGATATTCAATCCTGATCTTCACCTGCGAATAATCATCTCTGTCATGTGTTCTATGCTTATAATCTCCTTTTAATGTTTTCTCTGGGACAATGCACTGAATATATTTCACAGGGCTAAATTTCACTCCTTTTCAGGAAAATTATTCAGACTCTGTAAGTAATATAAAACATATGAAAGATTACCTATTCATATTGAAAGTTCAGTGTACCAGTGAACAAGAATAACCAAATAATGATTTTAAAGTAGAATCAGTACCAGAAGTTTTAAAGATGTATTAAACAAAGCTTGATTCTTAATAATTACCTGAAGCATAGTTTTTTAAAAATTTAGACTTGTTCATATGTATACATACATTTATATATACATATTTGTCTCATATGAAATGACAAGAAGAATAATTAAGAGTCATAGATCCTAGACAAAAAACAAATAATTAGTAGTACTGCATTGATGAAGTTAATTTCCTAGAAATGCATATGTGCATGTGTACACAACTAATACATTTGTGCACACAAGTGCGTGTACATGTGTAATGCATACGTGTGTGTACACATTTCCATCATAAACCTATACATGCAAGAACTCAGCTCAGTCACATCACATTTGTGAACTTTGGAAAGCCTCTTCCCTCTCAGATGACTGACTTCAAACTGGTTTTATTTCAAATTGTGTTATTTCAAATTGGGTTCTACTCACCCTGTCTGTCATAAATAGTTCATATAAAAACAAATATTTTTAAATTAAGTTATGTAAAACAACTGTGTAAAATGTTAACAGATGTATTATTTTCATTGTGATGATACTGAAAGAAGCCTCCATCATACACTAAACTTGGGAATCTCATTACAATGCAGCTGTAGACAGAGAAATCATACATTCTTCAACTTTACTACTGGAGCAATGGAGAAGAAAGGTGTTCTAAGGTGACCTCTCAAATTGGGGTAGTTGTTCATGCAAGCACTTAAATAAAATAGAATTCCAAGTACGTAAATCCAACTACCTTTGATTAGTTGGCAAATACGCACAAGACACTGTACAGAAAATAAATGAAAAATATACCTATTCCTGATTCTCAGGAATGTACAATCTAACAAAAGTAATGTTAGAAATAAAAAACAGACAATAAAGAAAGCAACATACTACATGTATTGATATATATTTTTATAACTTGATGTTTGGGCATGGGAGAAGATAACCAAGCATCTTATTTTTGTCTCAAATATTTGTATGGTAATTATTATTTTACAAGAGTCAGCTGTAGTGAGAAATAATCCAAATAAGTTATCAGGCGCATTCATTGTCGAAGAGCCTTCAATCCTAACCTTCCTTTATATCTGATCCTATAGGCAAGGAGGTTTTATCAACAGTCCCACACCTAGGATTGGCTAGAGCCAAAAATAAAATTATATAGGAAAAATGAGAACCAAATTTTTCAATATGGGAGAATAGATTATTAGAAAGGAAACACTGTCAATTTAGTGTAATTTATCCAAGGAATTTGAGTTATATTGTAGATTTGGAAAATCATGCATTCCCATTTCAGAATAAAGACTCTATTTTAGTACATCTCCTAAGAATTTTAAAGGAGTCATTCATTTTCTAATATTTTCAATTTAGAAAATCTCCTTTTTAGTCAGAAACCTCTAATCACTACTCATTTCCACTTATTCAGTCTTACACATTCTGCCTTTCCTTTCCTTCTTATGGTTTGTCTTCTCATATGCTATCCATTTAGCCAGTTTCCTCACTGGTCAATCCCTTCTTCATTCAATCTGAACATTCTATCAGTCATTTCAAATATCCTCACTATGATCCCTGACTCTTGGACTCCTGAAGTTGCCCGGTACTTGTTTTATAAAACCCTAGAACTTTTCTTCCCTGCTCTATTTCTCTTCCAAGCAAGGACAAGAAAAACAATATAATTATACTAAATGGATTTGCTATAAAATCAAGCTATTTTTCCTAAACTAAACAAGAACTCATATTGCTAAACAAATAACTATGTGCTTTTAGTGCCTCAATATAGATTTATTATCAGTGACTATTAAAAAGAATCCTTATTTTCTTCAAATCTGTTAATGTATCATCCCTTATTTTACTCTCTAAAAATGGTCTTGTTTGTTGGAGTGATAAGAAGGCCATATAGTTAGCACAAATTTCTCTTTTCTTCCTTTTCTATGTTTTCTATGGAAGAATGTTCTCCTCCTTTCTAAGTCTAGGGCCCCCATCTATGTACTCTCAAGCCAATATTTAAATAACTTTATTTTTCATGCATTCACTTACCATTTATATTTTCACTTATCAATGTTTGCTAAGTTCCTACTCCGTGCTCTGGATTGTGGAAGATTACAGGATAATATGGTGAAATGCTTTCTGTCCTAAGAGTGATTACTGTCAGCAAGAAAATTCCAACAATTCAATACCAATTCTTATTTTGATTGTTTGTTTTTTTTCATTTGTTTGTTTTGGTACCTGGGCTTGAACCCAGGGACACTTAACCACTGTCATATCCCCAACCCTTTTTCTCTCTCTCTCTTTCTTTCTTTTTTTTTCTTTAATTTTGAGACAGTTTCATAGAGCCTCTAAGAGTTTCTGAGGCTGGCTTTGAACTGGGATCCTCCTGCCTCAGCCTCCTAAGTCACTGGGATTACAGGCGTGCACCACCATGCCAAGTCCAATTCTTAAACTTCACGCAAAAAAAAAATTTGAAAATAATGAGTTTGAAAATAATGCAGTTAGAAATAGAAGGGGCAATTGATCTCGTCTTGAAGAAATCAGTGATTTTTTTTCTTAGAAGATATGTCATATACTTCAAGACCTGTAGAATGACCCAGGTGCCTCAGGTAGAAGGAGCACATAAGCAAGATTCCAGAAATGTTCTAATGGCTCTGGAGGGAAATACTGAAGTATGTTAAACTTACTAATGACTTATCAGGGTACTATTTTAGGAGAATCACTTTGGATACTGCAGAGAAAAAAAATTATAGTGAGGCAAGAATGAAGGCAGGAAGACCAATTTAAAGGTTGTGAGAGAAACACAAATGAGAAATGATGTGTTAGGGGCAGTGAACAGAGAAAGGGACAGAGGCAGGGATCATTTGAGAGCAGAATTAATGAAGCATGTTTACCAACAGGCTGCTGAATGTATGGAGTACTAACAAAA